AGTCGCGACGTGCAAAAACATGTGTACTATATCGTAAGGCACGTTGAACGAAAGCACCGGTTGACTGAGGTCGAGTAGAACGCAGTTTGATAAAACGCTAAAAAATAAAGTCTGCTTAAGAACGCATAAAATCTACGAAAAAAGGGCTCAAATAGCTTCGACAAAAAGGGAGACGGCCATTTATGTATCAGAATACTGTTTTCAGCACTATATTTTATAATGACACATAATCCCATACTCCCAGCTACTTTCTGAACCACCTCCACATGGATCTATTTTCAACCATCAATTGCACGTCGCAACGTAACCTTCATAAAGCGCGCCAACTATGATGCCTGCAAACTGGCTTGCCTCATGTAACAAACTTTTATTTGAGAATAAATTATTATTATTACTGTAACTCACATCGTTTGTAAGCCTGCGCGTGTAAGTGTGTAGATCCATATTCAATGAAGAAAATAAAGAACCCACAACTCTTCCTAGAAGTCTGAACGTCGTTCCAAAAACGAGTTGTAATGCAGTGCTTTCAATATCAGCTTCCACTGCATTGATAATATCGAGTAAAATGAGTGGAAGAGCGATAACTCATTATGAAACATATATAACTGAGAGCGAAACCTTAAATTGTCGTTGTAATCAGTCTATTAACCCGTTAGCTTGTTGGTGATTTGAACTAGCATCCACAGTCTGAAGTGCTAGCCAGAGAGGCAGCCAAAATTTGCTACCCATCCTTCGATGAAGAAGCGAGTTGATGCTACAGTAGTCGTGTCCTTGTTAGCTGATGTTTCTAGTCATCGTGTGAAACGATATGCACACGTTAAGGGGTTAGAGCATCCATTCGAATCTGGAAAGAGTCTCATCTAATTCAGATGAACATGGTCGAAATGAGATTCCGGAGTTTTTAAAGAACCTAGAGGACACTTGTTGTGCCTAATCACCTGAGGTTTGTGGCACCTCACATGTGAGCGTACCCAATCTCTCGTCATTATTCATATCAGGCCAGGAAAGTCGTGTCGCCCTAAGCCTGATCGTTGCTCGAACGCTTGGAAGAGGAATCCTGTGTAGTTTATCGAAAATATCGCTTCGATAACGCTTTGGTACGGCCGGACGATCCTTACCCGTAGATGTGTCACATAGTAAAGTTTCTGCACCTGTTTCCACCTGTTTCCACCTGTTTGATCCGTAGGTACAGGGGTTTTGAAGGTAACTGGTGCTGAAGATCAGTGTTTTCTTTCCAAAGGTGGACGACCTCTAGAAGGTCGATTTCTTGGCAACTGTCCAAGGACATGATACGATAAAAAGCGCCTGCCACCACATTGTTGCCCCAGAAATGTTTTGTAGTTCTGACTTAAACTGCTAAATATAGGCTAATTGTTGGGACTCTCGAAAAGAGTACTTGCCCGAAGACAAGCTGAGAAAAAAGTAAAACGGTTATTAGGGTGAATTCTTAGCCTCCCACTGGGTATTGAAATTGCCGTATAGCAAAGCACATGGCTAGGATTTCCTTTCTGAAATCGCCATACTTCAACTAAGAGTTCTGAATCCGTCTCAAGAAGATTGTCTAAGGTTGTCAGATGATGTTTACCCACTGTTGTCGGATTGCGTCTACGGCGATGTTATTGGGTGCAAGCATTGTTGATTTCACAATCTGTAGCGGTTTTCGTATTTAGTAAGCAGTTAGACGCTAGTCGCTGATGTCCTTTTCAAGGGCCATGTGCAATGGAAATGTAAAAGGGTATTTAGATAAACGGATAATTCCCAATTCTGTCGTGTGACTGAATCCGCTTTTTGCTATCCATAGCATTACAGAAGCTAGACGGCGCGCTTTCGGGAATACAGGTCGTTTTAGAGTCGTGGTGTGGTGCGTATCATTGCTGGTTACGTAAGGTAGTCTTGATCGCGATTTGTAGATTTCGGGGTGATCTTCGGCTATCTGTTGATAGTAAGGGTATGTTATGTACCTGGCAATGACTGAGGAGAATATGCAACAAGAAAGTGAGGCTACACAAACAGACAATTCAGTTCTGTTATCTACTAACCTCTGTTTGAGTTTCCATGAATAGATGATTGCGTTGTTGCTGCTGTTCAAATGATAGGGATAGAAACATCTGCATGAACCAAAATCTACTGAATGTATTTGCGTTTACACACGTTAAAATAAACGTATCGTTTTTCGTATACGCAATCGGTTTTCCATTCGACACTTATGGGTTGAAGATCGGTCCATTCACACGTTTGTTACAGTTTGCGGGGACAGCACTATCTTCTGCGCCAGTTTCGACGAGCAAGTGAACTTTTGTCGTAACATCAGCGATTTGCAGTAGATAGCTGTGGTCGCTAGGTACGATCACCCCTGAAACCTGATGGAGATGAAAATTCTTGAGAGGTTTCCCATATTGGACAGTTTAAAGATAGGTAAACTCGAAGCGTTCTGCAACTTCCACAAGACTCGTTACACTTGGTGGGTTATCTGCCTTTCATAATCTGTAGACAGATCGTTCTCGTGAAAAACTCCTCCCACGAGTTCAGGAGAGTCTACAATTATGATAATATTAAGACAATGAGTTAGAGCATGACAAAAATCTGTGATGTCAAGAAAGCCTAAAAAAGGAGAGCCGTTTTAAAAAGCCCTCGTCGAAGGTTTGCTGTCAGTCAACGTTTGCATCCATAGAAACATTTCTGTTGCTGAGCCTTTTTACTACTTGCTGTCGTTGAAAAATTTGTATAACCTTCTTTAAAGTGACGTAAGGTTGAGAAGCATCACCAGGTGTGACATACCTGCTAAAATAGCGCTGTGATGCCTTTACTGCTGCAAGAAATTGTGCACGTGAGTCTGTGCCCGTGGAAGTCTGCTGAACCGGTCTCCTATATCATTGGGCCAGAATGGCATTGGCTGAGTATTGGGGGGCGAAAGAGCCTTAATCTGAACAATTTGATAATCTGTTCAGTCATAATAAAGAGAAGATATACAAATGAGCGAAAAAATATAAAAAGTACAAAATTACTACCAGAATATATAAAATTCCAACAAGTAACAGACCAGTGGTTTGTTGTTTGGTGTACCAGATCACGTTGAGTCCACTGCCAAGGGTTTCAAAGGTATGCGGAGTTTGACAATGTCTTTACACGTGACACCATAATAATAGAAGTATGTCAACGTAGTCAAGCCGGAAGTCTTTGGTGAAGTGGTTCAAATATATATTCAAAAAGCCATCGATATATCGGGATGTGTTTGGTGTAAGTTGGCTAGTAGCGACAACATATGGGTCCAAGTTGCACACACTCATGATCCGGTGTGAGTGCGTGACCAAGCGCTTTCAGCTAGGTGTGTTCAGTAAGACTGTTAAAGTTGTAGAATTATGGTCTACTCTGAAATTAATACTGTGTTAATAAAAGATCTAATCGTTACGTCCAAGTTTTTTTTTCGTCCTCGTTATTGAAGTACGGTATATCGATCTATTTGCAATTTTTGAACCCAAATTAACAATAGATTCAAACCCCAATTTAGAGACCAAAGTTTATTCGCAATTTACAAATAGTCGACCAAAATGTCGTTCTTCAATTTTGTAGGTTCCCAGAGCAAAAACTCCTAAATACCAAACCTATGACAAAGAGAAACCAAAATGCCAGAAAAAATGATATAAACAAACAATTTCAAAAATTAAGTGAAACAAATATACAATGAAAAGCTTTTAATCAGCCAAACGTCTACAGTTCTCCGGTAACACAAATCCTAAAATTGTAGACTTGTCATGATATAACTTCCTAGTCTATAAGATCTTGCGTGGAAGTCATACCATCGTCTACACCAACTCATCGTGTCGTAACAGTCACCAACACATGATGTAGAGCAAGGTTAGGCTAGAGATAGAACGATATATTTAATATGAAAAAAAAGATATAAGATAACGTTCAACAAAAACCATAACTGCAAGGCCGAGCCAAGCCATTCGATCAACTGCATTGGATTCAACTTCTTGTTCTCGCCTTCTCCATCGTTAGGTATTTCTCCGCGTTAAATGTTCAATATCAATTTTCCCAGTTGTTTGGTGTTGAGCTTTGAGGATTGTGTGGTTACGGCCGAATGCCACTACAGGGTCACCATCAAAGTCAAAGACCTAAAGAACCATTTATTTTGAGTCCTTATTAACCCTTACACTATGATAAATACAAAATTTGCAATCGTGAAAAGTTCATCAACATATTTATACCACTGATAATAGAAAAACAACGTTTGATTCGGAGAAAGGATTCTTGAATCTTCATGTTTTTTCAAAGCTAAAATTACAACTGCAAAGAAATTATAGGAAACAGTATTCCTGTCACGTCTGAACGCTTTCATATATTCAGATCCATGTATTTTACCAGCTTCAGCGTCGAAGGCTTGCTTAACTAGTTCTTTCAATAATTTATTCACCTCCTCAACCTTTTATTTCCATCAACGAAATCACTCAATAATAAAAATCATTTTACTGTCTTTTCGTCCGAATAGCAATATACAAATTGAGGGTATGGTTAGGATGGATTATATTGCATTAAAATTGTTATATGTGACTTGCTTTTTCATCCAAGCTGAAATTTCTGTGGTGTATTTGCAGTGGTATTATTACTTGATAGCTTCGATGCATTGCAGATCACCATTCATCAAAATGCGATCTGTTTTCATAATACTTATAGTAAACCAGTTCAAGAACACAATCCGTCTCTGAATTTCCTGAACGGATCTTCTCCTCAATAAACGTATCCGATAACCATCTTACCATCTTTTTATTTTCACTTAAGAATTTCGCTGCCTCCACACCCATCTAAAACTTCATATGTCGTTTCTTGTATTTTACCGCACCTACTAATAAATCTTGTCACTAACTCTTCATTTTGAAAGATTTAGGTTACTATCTACGAATGTTTGAAGTCGTCATTCGCAATACACTTTGTGCTTTGAAGGTTTCTTTCGGTTTCGTTAGTTGTCATAGTTTTAAAACCTCCGAGGGATATTTAAAATGAGTTCACTTTCCAACTGTACACAAATTCCTTCAGAGTATATGGACTATGCTGAAAAACATTCAATATTTGAGCTCATGCAAGTATTGTTTTCTCTTTTTACTTTCCAGAGGTTACTTAAACTTTTAATAATCAATCGTCCCGGAGATCCTATATCATATCTAATTAGGTACCTGGAAAAAGATGTCGGAGATGGTAGTTCTACTGAAGTTAAAACACAGTTTTAGTACTTTCCATTTTCATTTTCGGTCCAAAGTCTTCAGGCAAGAGATTGCTGGGTTCCATGTTGCAAGTGAAACTGCAATGCACAATGATTCATGGGGACGACATATACAGTTTATGTCCGGAAGGGAAAGTTAGCCAATCCTTTTTTATCATTTTAAAACTTATTTTCAACTGCTGGTATGAATTCGAAACAATAAAAACCCAATTTTATCTGTCTTAGGTTACTTCGACAATCGAAGTGAAGTCAACAGCCACAATATCTGGCTTCAGTTAAATCAATGTTATAAACCTTATAGGATGTTCGCATTATGAAACACTTTTCGCAACAAGGCCTAGAGACACTTCAATTTTGGCTTGATGAATGTTTTTTGCGAAATCTCAGTTACAGTTGTTTTTCAAACCAAAATTCTAGGAAAATTTCTTCTACGAAGAAAAATAGTGACTTTCCAGTCTAAATCACATATAACGTGCCCCAGTTCACTTAGTTGCTTTAGAATTTAGAACACTTCCTTAAAATTAATTTCTTGTGAACAGTGCCTTTCGTTAGGCTTGTTACAACTACATACATTAGTCTTAATGCTCTTGTATAGATGGGTAAATGTAGACTCTAGGTGATTTAGAATATACTCATTAGTATTAGGAATAACAAACGTAGTCGAAATATACTCACTTGGTTTCCGCTAGTTTATTTGATTAACATGTCGGTCGTATGTTTCTAAATCATTGATATCTGGAATTCAAGCCATAGATTTTCCAACACTGTCCTCCTCCACGTTGGATCTTTATATACCCAAGTTACAGACAACATGACTTTATTTAAAACGTATTTCTCACACTGACTTGAGGATCGCTTTGAAGTGACTTCATGTTGAGAATAAAACAACACTCGATATAAGATCATCCAAACAGTAGTTACGTTTGAATTCACTTAAAACTTATGCTTCACATTAACCAAGTTTTCCACCAGAAACAAATAAATTATGATGACAAATAACATTTGATATGGCATCATCAGGATTTGATTCCCTCGAAATATTCTCTTCAAATTTATTAAGAATCTTTTTGAAGAATAATGTGTTATTAGAAAAATCAGCCCTGAACAAAATTGCATCAAATTTCGGATCATGATTTGATTCACTCGACATGTTTTTCCCGTTTTTATAAGAATTTAATCAAAATCATGTGAATCATTGGGACAGCCCATATCTGGTAAATAACAAGAAAAATCTGATAATGTTGATTCATTAGAAACCCTCATCTCACAAAATTTCTGACTTTCATTTAATACACCTGTATTCGTCGTGCTGAAATCAATTATTTTCTGAGTACGGGTCTCTCCAGCTTCCCCGACCAGTATCACGTGGAACACAAGTTTATTTGATTGGAATTCAGTTTCGGAGTTATGCAAAGCTAACAAGGCTTCATTTAATCATGAATTGAGCTATAACACTTTACGGCCTGTGTCAATAATAATTTCACCAAATGAATCAAGGGAGGTATACAATCGCTTTCGAATATAACCGTTATCTGCCGAGATTGCGAATAAAGATGAATGATCATTAGGAACACTAAACATCATAAAATCCGAACTACAGAGTTTTTAATCACTAGTGGCAAAACGAAGTAGTTCTATAAACTGACTGTATGCGTCCCGTTTTACCACACTTGAAGGATTTGGCATATCAAAACACACATGAATTACGCGAGCAAAATTTACTACAGGATAAGCATTTACCGAACCCGTGCTCACCTCTGTAACCTGATTTGTGGCTGCTCAAACAATCGTTATCTTTAAAACCTTGAGCACGCATTGAATTGGGATAACTAAGTAATGTGTTGGGATTATTGGTGTCCCGGTGAATCACTTTATGAAATTTTACTCTTTCACGGCATTCAAAATCAGAACACTTAACATGGTTTAGTATTAGTAGTTCTCTGAGAGTTGCGCAAGGGAGTACAACAGGCTTGTCTGAGAAAGCCAAAGTTTCTAGTAGGCTGTAGGTACCCTGTCCGATGAGTGTGAGGAAATGAGCCCCAATCATATCGTCCTCAACATGTTTTTGGTCATACTCCAGATTAAAAACCTCTTCATATAATCTTGGTAAACTTCAAAATCTGAATGTGTATCGATTGTGACGTCAATATGTTGATCAGAAGTATTCGTATTACTGTACTAACTAGGAATTTCTGAAATAGTGCGATTTACAGCAAGTAGAACTAGGTAAGCACAAATGAACGTATTACATTTGGAATTCGGGATCAGCGGTCAATCAAGTACCAAGGAACCATTATTTCGTGCAAACACCACAACAAGCACTGTCTGACTAAAACTACAGTTACATTAAAATATTTTTACAGTTTTCGTCGAATAAAATTTTCAAAGCATTTGTTTCTTTAACCACCTGGTAGAGCATATATATCGTGTAGTTTTTAAGTTTAATAAGAATTCACACGTGAAATTTACCTTTAATAAGAAACTTAATTTTGGTTATATCCATATCTGAACTTATACACTCACTGTGGTCGTCCAAAATGTTTAGAGGGTGTTCTAATATTGTCGTTTAATTTTAACACTCTTTCCAACACACCTAGATATACGTTAGTTTTATAACTGTTTGCCATGCAACAAAATAATTTTCCACTGTGAAAAATTGAAGCAAATTCAATAGAACTATCTTTCAACCATAATGTTAATCAAATTCGGCGTTTTATGTCATTGCAACCATAAATAGTTTGCTCTTTTATTCACATCATTTGTTTGCTATTAAAAACTTTTCTACATGTTGCTTTGTAAGTGGAACGTAAATTTATCAATAATTTCTATGAATTCCAAAACTGTTGAAGAAAAAATGGGTTTTTTTCCAATGTCTTTGCGGTTATTATATTAAATAATTTGTGCTAAGTGAATTATTTACTTGTTAGTTAGGTCGAGCGATTTTTGCAAAGTAAGTTCTTTCATGGCCATTTCAAGTACTTATGGGTTATTCTATTTCGTACTCATCTTTAAACGGGATTTACTGCATCCGAAGTAACATAACCTTTGGAAAATTAGACTGCTATAACTGTGTTATGATTTTGCCTAATAGGATGCTTCAGTCCAAAAACTAATTGCTGCTTTGAAGAAACGACTTAACGAATCTGACTGTGAATCAAGAGGTTATATTATTGTCGACTTCCCAAGATGTGAAAAAGAAGCTAAAGCACTTATAAATGAAGGAATATTTCCTGATTATGCAAGTATGAAGTGATAATTACCTTTTATGAAGTGATCTTTGTAGTATTTCTGGATGCACCCTTGCTTACATTAATTGAAAGAGCATCAGGAGAAAGGATGGATCCCGATAATGGAGGTGAGAATAAGAAATAATCCTTAATTTTAGATTTACATCAGATTTATATAATCTATTACATAACCCCCCAGCTGATTTAGCAGTTGAAAGGCGCTTGGTAAAACTTACAGAAAATGATGAAGATCTAATTAAAAAACGTTACAGCGAATACAACAGACAAATGGTTCTACTGAAGAGAATTTATTCTAGTGTTGCTTATGAATTTAATGCAGATCAACCAATCAATGACTTATATCATTTCGTTTTGGCAAAAGTAAACCAATCTCGTCGCAGCATTGCTCTGCAAACTCCTAAGGTCGTTTTGTTAGGCTATCCTGGAGCTGGAAAACATACACAAGCACATTTGCTAGCTAAAAAGTATGGACTAATTCCAGTGGACTGTGGGCATCTTATACTTCGTGAAGTAGCTAATCGTTCTTCAGTTGGGAACATAATGAAAACTTATGTTCAAAAAAATATTCCAGGTATATTTGTTAAGTCTTTCTTTCTATTGTGTACAGTCTTTTGTATATCAGACGTATTCTTTCTTATACAAACTCTTATTCATTAAAATAATCTAAAGATCGACCGATGATTGAACTGTTGAATTGCTGGTTTCATTAAACATATGATGAAAAGTCTTTAGTTTAATATATTACCCATACATTGGAACTACTCTGGGCTCAATAACGTTGGCAAAGACTTATTTATGATGGTAATTTTAACGTATTTTTAATAAAAGTTACTCAAATTCCTTTTTGTTTAGAGTATTTGATGCAAAATACAATGGTGTCAGCATATATTATGGTTAAGAGTTTAAACATGTCATAACTGTTACTTTTATGCTTGTTACATAAACAATTTTTCGAGTGGTATATAACCATTTCTTTTATAATTAGGGTTTGTACATTTTGGTGGTAATTATACCAAATATTGCTATTTTCCATTCCTTTAAAACCTAGTTCCAGATGCCATAGTCTCAGAAGTTGTGAGAAACAGACTGAATAAAATTGATTGCATGACATATGGTTGGATACTTGTCGGATATCCTCGTACACGTCAACAAGCAGAGCTACTGTCATCGCATAAAGTATACCCGACCCGAGTTATTCTAATGGATATAGATCAATCTTGTGCATCTGAACGACTTTCTGGACGTAGAATTGATCCAATCACAGGTATATGTTTTCACACAGCATTCGAATCTATGGAAGATGTATGCATTAGTCAGCGTGCTTTGCAGCGTCCAAATGATGAAGAAGATGCTATAAGCCCAAAGCTATCAAGATTTACAGCTAACAGAGATGACATTATCGTATACTATGATTCATGTGTGGTTAAAGTGCATGCAGACAGAGATATTCACACTGTTTTTGAAGAAATTGAGACTGCTATTGTAAATCCATTACCACGTTTTAATTTTGTTAAATAATTTAATATTATATATGTATTTGTGCAGAGAGAAGTTAAATACATGATTTCTTGTAAAAAATTCTGTTTTTTCTATATGATGTACTCAGAAAATAGTTTGAAAAAAGTTTAATTTTTCTAAAAACAATTTATATGTCTATATTAAAATCAACATTACAGGATCAAATAGAAATTTACATTAGGAAACCTGACCCAAATCTACTGAAATATACACGAAAACATCATTTGTATGAGATTTTTGAGGTAAGAACTTTTTATTAGCATTAATGATATTTTTTGATGTATAAAGAAATGGTCGAATACTTTAAAATAGTTATCATTGATGAAAATGTTACCAAAACGTACTTAATAGGTGTAAATTCTGTTTAATCCAATGAACAAAATTACGACCAAACTTTGTAAATATTCCTTATAAAATCAGATAGGGCTGAACTATGTCAACTTACCTCAATATTTGATTCAAATATGTAACGCATTAAAGGTTCATGTAATCAGCCTTGAAATTCAATATGCCTGAAGGCTAGTTATACTACACGAACTCATTTCACTCCTGTAATTTCTAAACTGATTAATGGTGTATACAAAACAAATCACAAATTTCAAGTAATTTACTTAAAGTTACCATTCATATGATCAGTTGAGACTAAGGAATAAACACGCTTCGTTTTTTTCTTGTACAATTTAAGTAATATATTCAAAAATGACCTTATTCTTGTAAACGTGCAACTTTTTAACGTTTACTTTAAAATGTAGATAAACATAATTTAGTTAAAACAAATTGAATTAAGATACAAAAGTTTTAAATTGAAAAACTTGGTTCACAAATCTCAACCTAAACAACCAAGCCATTTCTAACCAAAAAAAAATTTTTAAAGAAATTCCCGAAAACCTCTTCAAGTTTTAATAGATTATATTTTTGTATAGCTTAAGAATTTTTCTTGTATTGTGATAAATCAATAAGTGATCTATTTGCACCAAAGATATATTAGCTTTTCTTCAGTCTACATAGAGTTGAAAAGCGAGAGTAAAGTCATATAGACGAAATAATAAATGTTACATAGACAAAGAATTATTTTGTTGGTAATAATTTTCGGCTAAAAACCAGTTGATTGTTAGGTGCATCGAATAATATAGATAGGTCGTGTTTGTTGGTTAAATGCTTTGCTCCTTTCGACCTAAACGTTATGAAACTAGTGCAGGATGATGAACATTGGTTAAACCTGCTAGTACACATCTATGTTAACCAAACTTAGCTTAAGTTAGGTCTAATATTTATGGAAGCTAATTTAATATAAAGACCAAATCAGCTTCCTTAATCTTTTTGTGAACATTTCAGTACATTTTCTGATAAACGAATTTTTATATTACTCTCATATTCCTGGAGATTAAAGTTCTAATTCCTGTTGTAATAAGTGGTCTTGTATCTTTAAGAGTTCCCCTAATCTCCAGAAAGTCTTTAGGATGCTTTGAAATTGATTATTTTAGCGATGAATTCTTAATAGTAATTACATAAATGAGAACTATTGGGTTCCAAGTCAGTTATTTAAACGTAGCTTGCTCATCACAAGATCTGAAATGCCTCTAACTACTCCAGACCATACTAAGGGTCCTCATTATTGACAAGTTTCAAAATAGAACGACAAAACTTTACAGTACTTCATAGGTTTCAGTCGCCATGTAATTCAAGTTACATCGTGACGTAGACTTTCAGAATTTTGTAGAGTTTGCAATAATATTTACACTTCAACAAGTGGCCGCCAATATAAATTCTCAAATTATACAGAATAAAACAAATCTCAGAAAGATATATATTCCAATATTTTATAGAGCTTTATCATCTGTCTACAATTTAAAAACGAAATTACTAATAATTTGAAAAAAAACTCAGATAAAATTAAGTAGTTTGTGTGTAAGTTGATCTAGGTTTATAATAATAGTTAAAAATAATGCAAATAATCGTTCAAAAGTTTATTTACAATATTATATAGCAAATATTTTAGTAAAAAAGAGAAATCTTGGAGCTGAACATTAAGTGATAAAAATAAGCACCTCGAATCAATTTATCATGCAAGTTATTCTATCCTTTTATAGATATATGTTTTCCATATAACTATATATACAAATGTACAGCTTAATTAAACGATTTCGTCGAAAAGAAAATTTTCTTCGCTGAATTCTCTTTTTCTTATTCTATGACACTATGGGTTAATCTAGTTACTTCTAAAACTCATGCGAAATGATTAAAAAACAAGGTAGAGTTTTCACTATCAATGTATCTCTTTCTCTCTCTCTCTCTCTCTCTCTATATATATATATATATATATATATATATATATATATATATATATATATATATCCTTATTTTATTTTAGTTAGTAATTTAATAATAAACCATTTATAAATACATCTTTCTTTTTAATGTTGTCAGTCATTTCATCATCTGTTGTTTTTATGTTGAGTGTTTAGTAAATGCTTATCTGATTACTATCGTAAACAATAAAAGCTATGAACATTTTTAGTGCATTAAAATAACTGAAGTTATGAATAACTTAATATTAAAGCTAATGAGAATTTGATTACGTGATCAAACACAGGAAATATCAGTATTCTAATTGTTCAATTACAGATAAAAAACATTTGTATTCACTATCATTTGTTGTCTTCATTAATATTTGTACAACTGAATAACACTATAAAAGATATAATGAAATTATTGTAGTGGACAGTGTTATATAATTTATTTACTTATCAGATGAATAACAAAATTCTTTATGACTCTTTATAAAGGCATACATAATCAACAATACTGTCTTACTATGTTCTGGTGGTTTATTCATAGTTATTATTGATTATTATTGAAGGCACTTTTAAGTGGTTTAAGCGTCATGTTACCAGAAAATCCTCGTAAATGGATTGCAGAAAAACTTCAACTTCTTTACGATATTGGTTTTATGAGTTTAAACTGGTAAGTTGTATTTCACTTTAGTAAATTTTTCTTAAAAAAATTTGAATTTGGCTATGTTTGTGTTTTGATTTATTTGTATGGATTCTTGGATTTACGTGAAAAACTGGCATATCAAGTAGAATTCTACGGCTGTCAAAGCTTTATCTGGCTAACAAATAAAGTTTTCGACAGTTTTATCTTTAATAATGTCGGTTTTGTGGGTGAATATGTTCGTTTTTTCCAATATTTAAATTATAATGGGATTGAACCATGTAACAAAAAATTGATGACTATTATTACTCTTAAATGCTTTGTAGATTTTCTCAGTTTAAATCAGATACTTGCTCTTTTAATTATTTAGTGTTAAGTTGATAATATTGACAACATTTGAATGAGTTGGTAGGTATTAATACCATGGCTGGACTTGATAGTTCCAAATAAATTGAGCGTTGGGCAGAATGTTAATAATAAATATATTTTTGTCGAAAATACAATTTTCTAGTAATTTGGATATCACAAAACTATTTATCATTAACACTTGAATGAGTAATAAATAGCGTAGATTCATAGTAATAAGTAATGCTAGTAAATCACTTGATTGCATTTTGAACCTTCGTCATCTTTAATAATTTGGATGTAATGGGTATACTCAGAGATTACTTACATCAAATTATTGTACTAATGAAAATAGTTATTAGAGGTTATGGGTCAAAATTAGTTACAGGTGAGAAAATATATAATAACGTGAGGATTTGAATAGACTTATTTATAAACATGTAACATTGTTGCGTACATTTTCAACCATGTCATATTATATTTCTACCATTTTAAACGTTAATATTAAGGGATACATTTGTTGATCCGGATATGAAACCTTCTCATCCATATGTCGATCATGAATTAATGCATTCCCTATTTGGTACATCAAAACTAGAATTTGTAAGTTATACTGAATCTCTAATTTATTAACTTTATATATAAAAATACACCTCTTTGTGTTAACGATGACCGTTATCATCAACTGATATTATTTGAAGAAACAATGGACATCCATTTCATTTCATTTTAAAACTCTTCAGCAGTGTACATCTACTACCTTTTAAATGAATGAACATACTGTTAACACGGCAACAAAGTCAATATTAGTCCTAAGTTCAAATAAAAACACGACTATTAAAACTCAAAATAGTAAACAATCAACAACTAAAAGGAATGAAGTAATTTGTTTTATAATCGAACATGTGCATATATATATATAAGTGGCAAACTAAGTTACTCTTCCTCTAGCATTTCACATCATTCTCTTAAAGTTAGTATATACTAGGGTTTATATTGTTGTATTATATTGAGCAGTGATTATCAACGCACAGGTTACCACTACATTGTTGCTATTTTAATGTTTACTTTATGAAGGCGAGTAAATTATGGTACGTCTGTTCGTAGTATTGGTACAAAAGACCAGAGATAATAACAAACTCAATTAATAGTACTGAATGTCGATAACTATATTTTTGAAAATTCATTATATTAAAAGAATTGCAATAGTTTGGAAATCCATTTTGTTAAACTTTTTATCTCATATACTGCATACTTACTCTTTTTATTATGTTTGTTTAATAAGCTGTTACCAGAAGAATTACAATATCAAGTAAGTTTTGTATTTGTCAAAATATTGTTTTTCGAAAGAATTTTATATACACTTGATTCGTTAGTCTTACAGTTTATCTTATGAAACGTGGAACATATACGCTTGCTAAATTCAAATAAGTTATTTAGACATTTTAAATAACTCTAAAGGTTGACATCATTAAGACTCAAGTGATAGTGAAACGAAATTTTTAAAGCTGTTTAGCCCAGATCCATAAGGGTTCGTCCTAGTACATGAGTAACCCGTTTCTTGATGAAGTTAAAGCTTTTTTTAATGAAAATATATCATACATTTTATTCTTATATGTTTTGATGAATAAGATGGCAATTTCTGCTCTTTATATTATGATTTCTACTTAGAAAATATGTGCCTACTTTTATGTTGTATAACTTTTACCATTAATATTCTAAGAAAACACGTCCAGCTAGATTGGATGTAAGTATATTCCGCTCTAATTATCTACTTTAGTACAACATCATTTTTAGATGTTTGAATTAAAATCTTCTTTGGGTACAAACTACGCTAAACATCCCTACGTTATATGATATCCGCCAAGTAAGTGGGATATGAGAAGTAAAAGTGCTTGATAGTGTAGTTTGTCAAATATAAAATTTGAAATTTGCCAATCACATTTCATGTAAAAAATAATCAACAATTCTCAACTACACAGTGATTTATCGACATCGTATTTATCTATATTTCCAATGAATAGATTCTGTATGTATGAACTTGTGGAGATAGTTGAACTTCATTGAAATCCTGAACCGACTTAGATTTGACTAAATTAGAACGAAGCGCCCGCCCAACGCTTTCAGGTTTTCATTGATGGTCTAGCCTAGATCGATTATGAAATTTAATGGAATAAATTTCAATTTTACATAAGAAAACAAACAATAATATATTTTTGAATAGGGTTCAACTTTTGATAAAGTATTTGCTTATCATCATGACAAGAACTTTCATAGAAAAATTTAATTGTCAAATTGAATAAGTCAACTTACAAAGTTGAATAAAAATGATCTCTGTCAAGAAGAATAACATTTTCACCTGCCAGTTTCTATTTTTATCTTTTCTCCCTTGATGCTTATTTATCATTTGATTAGAATAACAGATTAAGACTTTTTTAAAATAACGCTTCATATTAAACGAAAAAGTTTATCATTCTACTGGGAAGTACTTTTCATTGAGGATTTTACAGTTTGGTAATGATTTCCACGATAAAATAATACAATCTGAACAGTAATTGTAATTCAGAGAACGTTGAGTAGTTGAAGTGATTCATCGCTGCCTACTTGCTAACATCTCAATAAGCGAATGAAACATGGTTATTAGGATCATACAGTGAGCACAGGATTTCCTTCATGTAAGCGCAATTTTACTGTCAATTCTCAGGTAAAGGCTGTTTCAAGTTTACTTGCAATCTGGTCAAGTTTCACACTTCTAGGAATGGGAACTTGTGAAAGATACCACAAATGTATATTCATCTTGTGTGGTACAATTTAGATCACCAGACTGTGATCATATAAATACAAACACCGTCTTTATTCTCGAAAATATATTAAACATTAATTTTATTTTTTGAAAACTCACTACTAATTTACACTTATAAATATTTTCATGGTGATTGGTGGTATACTTGAGTATACTTTATGGTTTGTCTAAAAATAATGTGGTATACATACATATAACTATGCATAATATACTTTGAATTTTTCTATTTAACGTAAGCCTACACCTGAAATGTTAGCAAAAGCCTATGCTGCTCATAAACAATCAATATTAAAAAAGTGTTTCAGGTTAGTTTTTATGCTTAAATCATGTCATCATTTTCATAAGTATTTCTTTTCATGATGTGAATCATACAGTTAAAAAGTTTCAATACTTTAAATCTCTGAAAAGAAATAACCCAATTTATAATACTTTTTCATCATATTCTTCTATTATATGATCCGTATGATTTAAATCACTTTATTCAAGTTAAATAAACCAGTAATTTAGATGTCTCGTGAATACAGAGAATAAATAATATGCATATTTTTAGGTACTGGACAATAGACTGATAGTAAGTCAACAAATTCACTTCAAAAACCTTATCTTGATCATTCACAATAAATATAACAATATAATTTATACGAATATTCGTCAAGATTAGAACGAATAGTTTGACAGAAATTGGGTGCCGAGTATAGAGAAGTCAGTATATGTGAAAATTATATTTGATTTTGTTTATTACCTTGAAGAAGTCCAGCCAAGTTAGCTGGACGAAACTTTGGAATTATTTAAATTTCAATCGCTGAGATTATTTCAAATAAAATCTTCACATATATATATATATAATGTTTACAAAAAATATGATTTTTGCCATACTTAATAATCATTATGATTTATTGGAATACATTCATCAAATTGTGAAGTATTTGACTGATTGACCAAATTAGAATATTAACATAGTGAATTGTAATGAAAAGTAACTACATAGTTTTAATCAACATAAGTTGTAATAAAATTCAAGAAAATCTGTCAACAGGGCTTGATTAGTTATTATTTAATACCATATTTACGTATCCAAACGAACTTGTTAAATCTTTTTAGTTAGCATAATCTTAAATATAACACACTCTGATACTCCTATGAACTTTTTACAAAATTATTTAAATTTTGTTTTTTTTTCTATCGGTTTATTAATCTGACGGATTCTATCACTCACAATTCTTAATTATCATTCAACTGCGTTTAAGGTTTTACTATAAAGTATGTGATAGTTACACAGATAACTACATATTTACTTACTCCTGTTACCTCTCGTGGGAAAGCATGGGCGGCGAAACATGATTTCCTATCGAACTGACTTATGGGCAATCCTTTCCATTTGCTATTCATCCTTTTCATGTCTGTTTCCATCTCTCGACACAATGTGTTCTTTGACATTCCTCTTTTCTGTTTTACTTCAGTATTCTAAGTTGGTGCATGCCTCGTGATGCAGTTTGATGGTTTCCACAATACATATCCTATCCATTTCCAGCGTCTTTCCCTAATTTCCTCTTCAATTGGATGCTGATTTATTTTCTCCCACACTAAGCTGTAGTCGATGGTATCTGGTCAACGGATATGAAGTATCTTGTGTACACAATTGTTGACAAATACCCGTACATTTTGATGATGATTGCAGTAGTTGTCCAAATTCCAGCTCCGTACAGTAGAACTGTCTTGACGTCCTCATTGGCGATTCTGACTTTGATATTTGTTGACAAATGTTTTAAGTTTCATATGTTCTTCATTGGTAAGAATGCTACTCTTGCTTTGCCAATCCGTGCCTTCACATCTGCATCACATCCTCCTTGTTCATTGATGATGCTTTCCAGGCACGTGAAAGTTTCCACATCTGCCAGAGCTTCTCCATCGTGTGATCAGGTTGGTGTTCTCCGTGAGTTATTTGAGAATCTTGCTTTCTCCTTTGTGTATATTCAAGCCTACTGACGCAAAGACTACTGCTACACTGACTATCTTCATCTGTATTTGTTGTTGTGTATGGGATGGAATAGCTAGGTCGTCTGTATAGTCCGAATCGTCTAGCTGCATCCAAGTTATCCATTGTATTTCGTGCTGTCCCTCAAATGTGGAGGTCTTCATAATCCAGTCAACCATCAGAAGGAAGAAGAGAAGAGAAAGTAAGCAGTCTTATCTGACACGGATCTCCACTTGAAATGCATCTGTCAACTGTTCTCCATGCACGAATCGCACTGTAGTCCGTCGTATAAATTCCCTATGATGTTGACGATTTTCTCAGCCACACACCATACTGTTGAAGAGGTTTCCATAAAGTTCTCCTATTCACGTTATCAAACAATTTATCATAGTCAAGGAAATTGATGTATAGTGACCAGTTCCATTCAATTAGTTACTCAACGGTGATCCGTAGTGTCGCGGTTTGGTCTGTGCACGATCGACTCTTACGGAATGCGGACAGTTGGTCTCGACGCTGAGAGTTTGCTCGATTCTTCATTCATTTAACACTACTTCGTTGAAACGTTTTTCATGGTATTGACAGTAGTGTGATTCCTCCATAGTTTACACACGTGCCGAGCTCTCTTTTCATCGGTATCTTGATGATATATGCTTTCCAGTCTTTCAGTACTTGTCTCAAATCTTCCTGAATAGAACTTACAGAATAATCACATATTTTCTCAGTTCCATAAAACGTCCCTCACAATGATATACATGAAACCAATTAGTTGATTTTTTTTATCACAATTTATGTTAATAAGTTAGAATGTCACACTATATATATATATATATATATATATATATATATATATATATATATATATATATATATATATATATATATATATAACTGTTAACTTACTGTAAGAGATTTTTTGTCCAAAATAAATGTTTTCAGTGATGTAAGAAGAATATACATGTACAACTTGATGATTATCATTCAACAAGTTTTTTATAGTGAGTTATATAACAGTTCACATATCTACGACTCTCCGTAATCGATTTACATTATTCTTAGTATCTTTCTGTAATCAGTTGTAATAAAAGGCTGGAATCTAATTACCTGAAGTCAATCTCATGCAAACAATGATTGTAGTTAGAAAGCTATTAAATATTTTATTTAGAAGCTATGGCTGATGCGGTACAATAATATCGGAAGTTAAACGTATAGTATTAATAACATACAAAGATTATTACGCAGTCTGTGAATTGATTAAATTAAGAAAAGTAAACCATTAAGTTTCAACTCATTTGTTTAAAATGACTTTGCTCATCACAAGAACTGAGGGCTCTACATCCTTTTTTATCTATGGTCTAAACATTCTGACCTAAATCAGACAAAATCTAGTTCTTCATAGATTTTAATGATTGTTTCTAGTCTATAACAAAAAATTATTTCAAAAAACTCCCCTTTTCAAAGTTTATTCATGCTATTATTATGTAGAACCACTAAAATTCTTTTCAAAAGATGATATGAAAATGCAATCACTTTCCAATAGACTACACACATACATATATTCGTAAAAAGAAAACTTATTATTTAGTTAGTAAAAAATTATCTGTTAGTCCTACTTTACTGATAAAATCCGAATTTTTCACATCGGTGTCATTCGATCAGTAACCTTAACTTATGAGCCCTATGTACCACAAAATTCAGAGAGTTTCCAGCATTGTTTATGACCTATTTTGAATAATGTATGATTTCCTGATAAAATGGTTGGAATTATACTCTATTATTTTCGAATATGAATTTCTCTATACATGATGCAATGATAATCCATCCAACAAAATGCATCAAATATATCTATAAGCTAACCGTAGTATTTCAGTGCACATGGGAATTTTCATTTTCAAAAAATACGGTTTGGGAATCTCATGTAAAACTTTCTGTGGATTGACTTCTATCTCCAGAACATTTTGGATACAGCTTGTCACCTTATGTCATATATTTTATGTAACAAATGAAAATTTATGCTATTAATACTTTGGAACCTTGTGATTTTTTTAATTCTAAAAATGATTTTCGATTCTCTGACTGTAATAATCAATAAAATACTGACATGATCGTATATTAATTTAACCAGTTTCAGAATCCTCATGCAGTCAATCTAACCATATATAAGTAAATAAGTGATGAATTTAATGTTTATTCATTATTTAGTAATTGAAAGAATCTTATAGTTTGAGCATACTTCTAAACATGAACAACCAAAATTTATTACAAAAGAAAATCATACATTGGATCATCATTTATGAGATCTGTGGCGTTCATTCACCTTATGATTTACATCATAGACTGAGTTGGGTTTGCTGAACGCGAGTCTGTCTTTAGTTTGATCGAATGATGGTGATACGAATGAAACATAAATTCTGTTTAAGTTCATATGTACTCTATCAGCTTAACAGGTTTAGAACAACTGGATATCAAAAGCCGAAACAATAGTGTTTGTGAAGCATATCTTCCATACATCCCACTCAGCAAACAGATCAAGAAAAGTAAGTGGGAATTAGAGGGACAGAAATAACTAGATGAAACAATCTTTATATGAAGTAACTAATACGTAAATTATAAAAAACCAATAAGAGTTTAGTTGACAGACACATATAAGACGAGTACTTAGTAAAACGTACATGAGTACTTTTGGCATGATCAAGGATGACAGAGCACATAAAAACGTCATAAAGTACTTGACAAGGTTAAAATGGCGATTTTCATGAGCAGACAAAAACTGATTATTTAGTGGTGTAATAAGAGATACTATGATTCAGAGATATATTGAAAGCCAAGGGGCACTAAAACAATTGTTTTATCTTATGTTCATTTCAACCTTTATTATTCCAGATTCACATATAATAAATTCAAGATTTTTTGTTCTATTTTACAATTCTTCGATTTGTTTTTAAGCGCCTGGAAATTACATTTTATAATCAAAAAAGCACGAGTGAATTATATGTACAAAATAAACTTTATTGCAAAAATAAGTATGAAATTTAGATTGCAAAAGATTATATTTCGAGGATGGCAAGAATATACACAGTTTGTGAAAAGTAAACAAAAAAGTAAGTAATTAAATTATGTATTATTTCATCATTTCTATCTTAATTCATTATTTTCCAAAATCAAGATTATTTTATTTTTCCATTTTAACTATTTATTTATTACTGATTGTATTCCTAATGTTATCGGCTTGAATCCATATCTTCTCATATACTACACAATGTCTGATTGGAAATTTATTATTATTACTGAGTACATTATTATTTCTGTCAATCAACAATGGTCATATTTATTCTGATTATGGATCTAATAATTTCATTTAACCTTCAACCTTATTAACAAGTATATAGCATACTACTTACTTCTATATTTATAAATGAGATTTATTTTATTTTTGATAAGAAAGGTAAATTCATATTTTAAATTATAAGATGGTATTTGGCTGGAGCTTGACTTTCTCTTTTGATCATCGATTTGGACTACAGAAACTGATAAGGATTAATAATAATAATAGTAATAATAATAATAATATTTAAACAGAGCTTAGTGATGTTAGGGAAAGATATTGATTAAATTAAGATAATTAACTAAAAAATTAAAAAGATTAATAATAAGATTCTAGTGATAAATTAACTTCGAATTTTTGCGAAACTTTACTGCTCTCATTTATCTGGCAAAATACCATTTGAATTAACAAAAAAATGCATGATATTTCATAATTACAGTAAAATACCATAATTTTTTTTTCTACATTGTTAAGTGGCACAATCATTAATAACACAAATTAAAGACTTCACAGTGACAATGTTATATTTTAAAGCCTGGCGGAGGAATGTTGCAGAAGCTCGGAAAACAAGGGATTATTTTTCAGTAAGTTAATGTATGTATTTAACGTTTGTAAATACAAATTTGATTATCTTTATTGGTACAAGCAAATGACCTTGATTTGTAAGACTAGTTGACAATATTGGTTTTACATATGTATAACAGTACCACAGATCTATGATGAAGTAATAGATATTATAATAGGTTTGATCCAGGAATTTAGTAATGGCAGATATTGCTATAACCGTATTTAGTGTCTTCAATAAGAATATATTGCCGTCTAATTAAAACTGACATTACAGTAGGGCAAAATGTTTCAATGTTACACTGTTCTCTATCTCTAACCATAATGTATTTTAAATTAAATAAATCCAGACACCCACACATTTCGGGGAAAATGGCCAAACAAATTGCGGATAAATCTTAGTACTAAAAAGAATTATGAACGGATATTGTGGTATCCACAAGATTATCAAGTTATTTGTAAATGTTTTTGTTAATTGATTATTTGAAGAAGAATCATTTGTACTGCTCAAGCTATATTTTCCATTATTCACTAATTAATTTTAAGTCAACATGCCTAGCAATCAATAGAAAATATTCTTAGGATTCTGTAGAAGTTTGAAATATATAATGTCTGTATCACATTATCACAAAATACACTGAGTTATCAGCATAAACGAAGACACTGTTACACAATGAATGTTAATATTTCTTTCAAAATATTTTGTTTTATTCGACTGCAAAGCCGAGTATTTTCACCGACAAATGAATTACTTAGATATAAGACATTCCGTATCACACCAAACATCTAAATTGACAAACTAACAAATTAGATACAGCCTAATCTAAAATGGCATTAAAATATTTCTGAAAAATGAAATAACTACGACCTCTTAATGTCCAAATATGTTAATGTTTTCCTATTTGTTCATTTTTAATGACTTTACAACCTTTTTCTTTTCTATCTGCAGAAAATGCAAGAAAAGTCAGATGGTGAAAAGTCAGATGATTCAGAGTCTGAAAATCAACTACTTACTTTAGGTGGTAAAATAAGCGATGTTGAAAATTATCGTGACCGATTTTCTGAATTACCTGACACCATACAATATAAAGTATGTTTAGCCGTTCCTGTATAATAGATTTAAATAATGTGGAATAATAAAACATGGATACATTTTGGCTTAAATCAAATTAGTTACATTGTCAGTGTATTTATCTACATATCTAACCACAACTCTTCAACCTGGATTATTGTTCCAATTTACATTGAGTGCACTATATTAACTCAACTTGAATGGTATAAAATTAGACTTATAGTAAATTAAAATGATTCGATGAAAATTACTGTCTCGTTCTTATTCACTCAATTTTCCTAGTAACCTTTTTTCGAAGCTTGTAGTTATTCTTCAAATATAGTTCGTACTTAAATGACGAAGTATTTTTCAGTAGGAGGTAACAGATATAGAAGTGTTCATAGATGTGTCTATTATTTGAAGTCATATATATTTATAAAAAAGTAAATAATACTTCTACGATTAGATGTAATACATATACAACCAATGGACGCAAATCGCATGATATAATTCTGGTTTACTTCATTGAAATCCCTATCAATTTATTTTTATTTTTAATAATAAATTGCATACTACAATGTTTATTGAAGAAGTGTGTTAGTAATCGTTTTCTAAACAAATTAAAATACATAAAATATTGGACTGTTGGTTGTAAACATTTTCTCATTTGAAAAACAAATATATATATTATTAATTCTTACTACTACTTCGCTAAATGTAATCAACATGGTAATGTACACTAAACTAGAGACTTGAGTACCTTAAGCCTTATGGGGACAATTTCATCTATTTAAAATCTAAAACTTGATCCTTGTAATGGATATTGTTCAACCTCTTATAAATATGGTTTTGTATGTTAAACGCTAATAAATAATGTAAACGTAATATTTTTAACATTTAAAAATCTATAAAATTTATTTGTATCCCGTTCCATTAAACTACCGTAATCTTTTCGCTCTTAATTATGAGAAAGTGATAAGATTTTGTATTATTAAAATTATCAGATCACTGAGCGAGTTCAAAAATACTCTGAAGTTTTTGGTGGTGTTTTGTTCTTTGAGCTGGATGGAACAAAACACCACCAAAATCATCCACCTGAGCTACAAATCTTCTCCACCATCTCAATACTCTGAAGTATTGAGGAAATCGCATTATTTACTGATATAATATTTTGTTCTAATTTTGAACTTACATAGGTGTACGTTTTAGAATACCCTCAAGATTCAATTTTGAACTTGGATTCTGACTTTACCTCTGAAAATTACTCGACTGTAGACTCTTTAAAAAATCTTATCATTAAATGTATGAAATATTTGAAAAATGTATTTCTGTTTCATTCTTTTGAAAATTAAGTTTCTCTTTCTGTGTGTAATTGATGCTTTAAGATCTGTTGACTTGTGAATAAAGTAAATTACACAAAATGTCGATAAGGAAGTTTAGTCTAGTTTTGTCTTCATAATATTTGATTTAAAAATTCAAAAGTCGAAAATAAAGTTTACTCATTAAATTTCATTTCTCCTTTGCTTTTCTTTGATTAGATATTTGGTTACTTAACACCCATAGATTTAGCTCGAGCTGCCTGTGTATCTCATTATTGGTGGTCTGTAGTTAGTGAAATGGATAAGAAAAATACTTTGGATTTATCGTGCTTTGGTAAAAGGTAAACTTATTATGTCAACCATAACGTATGTATTTTAAATCACACTATAGTGATCGTGTCAATAAAAATTTAGTTAATCATTAGTTTTATGGCTCTATGTTATTAGATATTATTGAACTATATTCACCGTTTAAAAAGTTAGGTTATCTTCACAATAAACATTTATTGGTGACAAAATCGTTGAGAATCATAGACAATTGGAAAACTGTTCTTTCTGGAATTGTGACTTATTCAATAGTGTGCACATACAAGCCTACGCGAACATGAACTCATTATATTTAGGTTTGGGTGTGGTTTATAATATTTTCAAACACTTTTACATCATTTAACCTTGTGACTTCATTTACAAATTCATAAATACGATTCACACATTTAGTCAATATGAACAAGATATTTTGTTTGGGTATAATAAATGTAATTGACTATATATATATATATATATATATATATATATATATATATATATATATATATCAAAGGGACCAATAATTGAGACTAACTAGCACAAAGGTTGGTTCCACTATATACATAGCGACAAATGACTTGTTAATTAAATTGATGTACAAAATGTTTTAAAACTGACAGTTACCATAATGTTACTCCAACATCATGATTTTACTATTATATATATATATATATATATATATATATATATATATATATATATATATATATATATACCGACCATAAGTAGATCTCATAAACTTAATTAACTTATCAAGTCCCAGCCATATTTGTAAATGCCTGAAATTAAGTTACTGTAATATACGGACATATTCTCCTTTCTCCTTTTTGATAGGTTAACAGAAGAACTTTTATTTAGGCTTACAAGAAGACGTCGAATGTATCTGCGTCATATCAACTTACGTAATAGTAGTCTGTGTACTTTAAATTCATTTCGTTGTTTAACTAGTTGCGCTAATTTACAGGATATCAATTTATCCAAATGCACTGGTATCACAGTAAGCATAAGTAAGCTATTCATTACTGGTTTAAATTTATCAATAATAATGGGTTCCCTTGATCGCTTTAAACAAAGGTATAAAGTATTTGATGACCTTATGATAACGGTAATATAACTATGAAATTTGAATAAGCTTTTAACATTCTTTTTACATTAGTATATTGATTTTGTATCCGTTATATCTTATGACCGCCGATTAGAGGGCAGTAAATTATCAACAGGACCAATGACGCGTAAACCCGTATGAGCAGCCCAGAGTCTGATTCGCCCTGCTTAGCGCCTAGCCCAGCCAGTTAAGTCCAGAACACAAGTCTCAGCCTCTGCGATATGAATCACTATATTTCAAACATACTGAGTTTATTTATCAATCAAACAGACCACAACGTACCAATAAAATATGAAACAACATCTGTACAAGAATTAGCCAGATGTAGCTGTGAATGAGGGAGGTAGTAATTAATATACTGGGTATAACTCAAGAATGGTAAAACGTATAATAATAGTTTATGGGTCAAAATAAAGCTTATAATAAGAGAAATATGAATATGTATAGTTTAGTTACTTAATAATTATACAATAGAAATATACGTTTAGTATTGGTGCATCAATAGATCCCAAAAGTTACCATTCATTATTCTTGTCGGGACATAACAGTATATGAAGCTGAAAACATGTATTTTTATAGAACTAATGCTTGAAATGTTTTTTTTTGAAACATAGTTCTGTTATTCTGTAAAACTCTTCATAGGTATATTTTATGGTTCTGTACTAATTCAATCACAGTTAGAAAATACAGTTTATATTCAACTCTGTATATGATAAAATTTTAAATAATAAAAACGTAATATCGAAAGCTGACCAACCTACAAGTAGTTTTAAAGCATGCTAAATAGTGTTCATACAAAAAATTGGTTATTTTAATGCCTTGAGAAGTGTAAATACTGCTAATCGTTTACATGATAGTCGTGACTGAAAAATTGGAGAAATAACTCAGATAACATAATTTAACTCGATCCATTCACTTTGTATCTTTTTCTAAAATGTTCATTTCAATATTATTAAACCTACCTCAATTTTCTAATTTACTTCTCTTTATTTTTTCATTATCAATGGTACTACTATATTAATGTGGATCTTTTTAGCTCTGTTTTTTTTTGTTTAAAAGTTAAGTGTGACAATTTTAAATATTGTTAATTGCAGCCAATTTTTATTTTGTCAACCGATGAAATAATATGTACATCAATGTACTAACAAATTAATAATCTAACTTTTTATCTTTTTTTTTGTGGAATTCCATTATTCGACAAATATGGAATACCTCATTAGGAAGATATGGTATTTTCAAAGTCCCAAATACATTCTTTTGACTTTAAACTTAAGTGTTTATTTACGAATTGTAAGTCTACAAGTCAGTAATCATCGAATTAAAGAAGATAAAAAAAATTTTTTTCTATTCTTTACGAATCTCACCATAATATGTTTAACCACATGTCTTAACGTGCAAATTAAATTGTCCTTACAGTTGAACAGTTTGATCAGTTTTTCCCTCCTCTTCTGATATACAACATAATCATTTCACTGTTTATAGATCGTGAACATAAGTTGTTTACGTAATTCTAAGTGAAATGACGAATTATTAAGAATATCATTCATTTTCTTAAAATACTAAAACGATGTATGTTTTCGTTATCTTGAATACAGTATTTTTATTTTCTTTTTATCCTCTTTAGGATGATGCAGTTCGTATAATAACTGTTGAATGTAGTTTACTTCTTTACTTGAATTTATCATATACTCAAATTACTGATGATTCAGTTCGTCACATAGCGATGTGAGTATATAATTTTACTTTAAACTTACAATTGTGTTTCGAACCTAATAAAGATAACAATGTGTTTTAATATTTGTACATAATTAGACATATATTCCTCATCAAATCAAGATAAATTTGAACCTCGACATTTTATTCGGTTACAACACCAAGCACCAAAAAGCATAAAAATTTCAAATATCCATGGTTAAATTTAAAAGTTCGTATCAGAAGGGGCTTTGTGGAGATTGTCACAATCTCAATAGTTGAGGTCATAAGCCAATCGAAGCTACACCATCAAGAAAAAGCTGGAAGCACTGGATGGCCGTTTTGTCCTGTTGTGGGACTTTTCAGCAGTGCGCATCCACGGTCCCGCCTCACAAGATTCGAACCCAGGGCTTATCAGTTTCGCTCGCGAGCGCTTAACCACCAGACTACTGATTTGGACGGCATCCAACGGTGTTAGTGTTTAACTTCAACCAATCCACGGAACTAAACGACAGATCCACTACTGTATTCAATGAGTTAATATCTCACAACAGACCCGGTTGAACTCCACTAGTTACTGCTTCTCACTAGAACTCCAGGATATACCTCTTGAATCCAGTCACTAGTAAACATATGTTGATTAGTATCAGAAGGAGTTTTGTGTAGATTGTAGGAATTTCAATAGTTGAGATCCTGCTTCCTGGGTTCAAATCCCGCGATGCGGGATCGTGAATTCGCACTGCTGAGAAGTCCCACAATAGGACGAAACGGCTGTCCAGTGCTCCCAGGTTTGGTTCTTCGTTAAATATATAAGTTAATAAAAAAACTTGTTGATATTATCAACATGTGATTTTGATTGTTTCTAGAGTGATAACTTATAGATAAACAGAAATCGCTTTCGTATTTAAACGAACTTAATAGTTCCCATCAATCTGGTAGTTAACATTTCTCTAAATGACATTGTAATTAGTTTTATTTCAATAAAGATTACGACATGTTATCTTATATTTCAGACTATATAATTAGCTATAATCTAGATTATATTTAAACAATGTATTTCATATATTTTGATATGTCGACAAACACATTGTTGCACGGATACATACTTGTAAATAAGCATCCAATCTATTTGTTATAAAACTAAATAGATTAAATTAAATTATTATTATTCTATTCAAACATGTAAATTCAATATACTTTCAATATCTGTTCTGTAATAAACATACTCATGTTATTTTGTTTTTTACATTAAATGTACAACCTCATGAAAATAATTTTTTAAATTAAGCAATACAAAAATGTTACAATATTTGAGTTTGGCCTATTGTACACGATTAAAACAACTTTGCTCAACTTATTTCAATCAATTAGAAAGTTTCAAGTCATTAATTTATTTGGATTTATCTGGATGTATTTACGTAAGAATTTCTATTTTTTTTCTGGTATATATCAATTTAAGAATTCGTTTTCTTTGTATAAATAATAGAGTTTTATATCGTTATAATTATAAATAGCATTTAATCTAGCAAGAATATAAGACCGTTCAATTTACCATTTTTTTCGCTTTTAAACACTAAAACAAAATCAATCAGGTGAAAAACATAGAATTTAAAATTATATTAGCACCATTGATAGTAAAATTCAGTCAGTAACAACATAGAACTTCGTACGTACGTATATCAGTTCGAGTTGCCATATCACATTAGCACAGAGATGCAGTTGTCTTTATTCAAATCTCTGAGTTGTAGAGGTAGTAAGAGTATAGTAAGATTGGAAATATATAACTCAAAATAAAAGAATAAGATATCTGCATATTGTTTTTTAGATAAATATGTATAAAACGAATATTTTAGTGACAATTTGAGTGATTCTAAGAAGTGTTACTTAATGTTTTTCTAAAACCTGCTTTTTATGATTATCTTGTGGATCAAAAATACCGTGTTCATCTCTGGCAACAGTCATATATGACCAGCAATAAATTCATTGAATAATGCAATATCTTCTTTAAACACCACATAACTTGATTTCAGGCGACATTCAAACTCGATAGCGTTTAGCACACACGTTTATGTTTATATATGAGAGTATGGTTCTTCTACTTCAAAACTGTTAACTGACATTATGAGAGAAAAATTTCAAGTGTATTGAAAAATTCAGAACAACTATTTAATCTAACGTTATATGATATAATTCAGAAAGCATTTCCTTAATCAAATAAAGAATTCACGTTTATTAAATTCATTATTGATTGTATTTCGGGCGAGACTATAATTTATGGACGAACCAATCAGGTATAAGATAACAGATCTTGGATTTGGGCGTGAAATTCACTCATCCATTTGTTTAAGTAGAGTTTTGACAGTTCGTAATGAAATCCATGAATCTAATTCTTAACCTTAACCATCACATGTAAATCCTAATTCTAATTCCTTACACTGGTTTATAACCCTCAATTAGTCCTAGTTATTAGGTGAACACTCTTAAGTTCAGTTTAGCGTCACTCAAAGGTCGTCCACAAATTCTAGTCTCATCGTATTTTGAATATAGTTAATGATGGTCTATGAAATACTTAAAAACATGATCTATTTTATAAATCTGCCTATGTATTCTTTTTAATATTGATACATGTTTTTTAAAAAAAACGTGTTTTCATTTATCTGTGATCTTAGTTGTACAGATATAAACATCTTTGTAATATATTGGCCATACAGTTGAATAATGGTCCATGTTGATCCTCATTGTCTGGATCATATTTCGTCTGTTGATTGTTTTGATTTATCAGCTAACATATGAAATGTACAAAATAACTAATCTTTTAAACTGTAAAACATAAATTACCTTCTATTAATAACTGTATTTTAGTCGTAAATTCCTGAGTCATTTACAAGATGTTTTCTTTATCAACAAGTTAGTAGGTTACCAATAATTATTATGTTTCACTATAACAAATCAAAAACGTCAATCTTGCATCCGAAACCTTTAACAGGTCCATGTGATATTTTTATAATCAACGTCATAGGTTTTTCTAAATGGAATTTAATATTATTTGTCTATGTTACTTAAGATGACCACAACTTATGACAGATGGTTGGGAGCAATTACTTTATATATATTTACTATTGAACATCTTCGAAAATAAGGTTCTGTTGTGCAACATTCTTTCTGTATTGTATCATTTCTTTGAAATTATTTTGAACAACACTTATTCTGACTTACTTTTTCATGTTAATAAAATATTCAAGGTGAAAAGAAAAGTGAGTATTAAAATCTGCTTAGTATGTTCCACTTCATTATATTTATTCCAAATCAGATACTGTTTGATTCTTTATGTGCACTTATATAATATTTAACGGAAAAGTGGACTGGTACACTTTGTATGAATATGAAATCAAATTCTAAGTATTTTGTTGGTAATTATTCAAGATGTGTATTTTGAAAAATATCTTCTTCATGGTACTCAATGAAAATAAATCGTAGTATTTTGTACCGTAATTCATATCATTTATAAATATGTATCTGTTACTCAAGATGAGAATGGCTTTTCTTATTTGAACCTAATAACTTCAGATTGAGTCGGCTGGTTTACAAACAATTATTAAAAGTGTGACACAAGTGGAACATTGGATACTGAACGATCTCCCATGGATTTCAGATACTGATCTTAATGTAAGTATGAATAATCAACTCTGTATTATTTCTTCAGGACATTTCACTAGTTGGATCATCACGTTTCTGCTAGATAATTTTATTATAATTTTAGCTTGCAAAACAAGGTGAATTAACCAAACGTATTTGAGCTGTACAAAAGGCTTTAATAAATAAATATGATAAAACTGTCTGAGATTTGTTGGACTTATATGTCGAAGTACATTACTGTTATGTCCCCTACTTGATTATGGCAGAATACGATATGCAATCAACGTCACTTGAATGTGTAGAACTCCACAGTCGCAAATCAGAAGATGGAAGAAGCAATTAAAGTGATTATTCGGTAAGAATCCAAAATGCACAGAAGAACATGGATATTTATAGTTATTAGTATTTACTATAACATCATTATAATTCAACCGGCCGGCAAGGAGACAAGTTATTCCAGCGTTCAGTCGTAGCATGCCACGTTGATATTTTAGAAGGCTATAGCAGGTTCTGACTAGATGGATTCTTTTCTGCTCCTTTAAGGCTTCTGAGGGCTTCTCTGTGCTTTACGAAGTCGTCCCAATAATCACGACAAAGGTGATATCTCCAGACAATATTAAAGAGTGAATGTTCCTTGTTTGCTTTTCCGGGCTTCTCTAGTAAATAACACACAGCAACTCAAAGTTATGACTTACTAACTATCTAATGCATGTAAACAACCACTCTACCTTCAGAACATGAACGAAGGACTCATATTCTCATTCAAATGTCTGCCCAAGACATTAGATACAGGGTAGGTATGGGGAAACATACTTTCTTGGTGACGAAACGATTTGCCACATTCGATGACTTTTTATTTTGCATACGCATTCAATGTAAAAATCATTTTCTTTACGATAGCCATCACCGATAATTGAATGGCCGAGTTTCAACCCCAAAAAGTCTAAGTTGTTTGACAAACTCTTGTTTAGTGGTAAACCCAGAACCAACAGGTTTCTATAAATAGCATTATCAGCCACATGTTTTGACGTAGACATGTGAAGTGACATAATTACTGCGAAAAGACTCATAAAATTGTATTTGATTAAAATTTACAGATTTCATTGATTTCATAATATTCTATCAGCTGGACATGTAGAACTACGTTTTGGATTGGTCCAAGAGAAAAAGGAAAACGGTACACCGAAATGCAATTCCTACCAATAAGAAATTAGTTCCCATGGGTTGATACATAAATAGTTCAAACAAACAGTTATGGGTGGAAAAGGAAAAACACAGAATAACTAAAGTATTATGAGTCAGCTGAAAATGTAGAGTTTAGTGTCAGAATGTAAAGTAAACCGATTGACAGGGTAGTCAATGTATAATACTATTATAGTGATTCGACCACAAAGCATTTAGACTATTTAATTCCCCTCTCTTTGAAGGTTCTTGGATCCAACTGTTCAGTAATACACACGTTAGAAATGGTCAATAATCAAAACGTAATTATATCCGGTTTAAATTATCTTTCAAAAACTTGTCTTTTCCATGAAAAATCAACTCCAGTCGATGGTGCTGTACAAATAAAAAATAAGCAAAATAGACCAATCACATCTATTGGTTTAATTCATAAACATGCTGATTCAACTCTAAATAATTCAAATTCAACTATTAGTTGTTTAATTACGGATTGTGGTCTACAATCAGTATGTGGGAAAAATTTAAATAGACTCCTTGTTTCAAATATGAGTTCAATAGATGGATCTGGATTGAATAATATTGTACCAAATGATAATGTTTCAAGAAGACATTCTAAAAGTAAAGCTCATCGTTTATCGAAACCGAATTCTGGATTCCTTGAAAATGGTAGTTTAAATTTACTAGAAATTTCATTCGTTGATTGTCCAAAGGTGAGTTACGTCTGATGAAATATACTCGGCTAGTATATATAATTTTCCTACTCTCTTTAAATCAACTGACCCTATGAACTGTTTAGGATTGTGTACAAAAATAAAAATTCAAATAACAGATTTTGGAAGGCAGCATCAAAAAAGTATTTGCCTAAGAATGAGTGGATTACAACAAAAAAAATCGTACAAGTTACCACAAACGATGCACTGATTTAGTTTCAGGACATAAGTTCAGGGCAAGTCTGACAATGAACTTTCACGTTCAGTGTCATCTGAAATGTCAATACTTTAAGAGATATGGCTAATCTTTTATATCAATCGTGTAGAAATTTATAATCAGTAAAATTAGAATCCTTGAAATCTTATTAGTCAGTAATTGGAAACATCTGAAATTTCTTAAAGTTTCGAAAGTACACTTTTCAAGAAACCTTAATGCTATAATGTTATTTCGCATTCTTACTCCTGTTCTACTCAGACGTTTCACTAGCTTCAGTTTGTTTTCTATAAATATAAAATAGAAAGTATATATGCACAAATTTATGTACTACTTACTTGGTTTTTTCATCCATTGTTGCTTCTAGATGAATGATATCCTGCTTCAACATTTAATACCTTTGCCGCATTTAACTGTTTTAAAGTTAAGTGGATGTGAAAGTCTTACAGATCAAGGTATAAAATTATTAACTGATGGGGCATACGCGGATAATTTAAAAGAACTGTACTTAGCAAGATGTGACAAATTAACTGATAAGGCGATTCATTTAATGAGTGCACGGTGAGTAGTGATGCTGCTTACATTATCAACTACTTATGTTTGTCTTAATAACATGAGGTTTAACTACACTACTTTAATACGTAAAGTGGAATTTTTAATATAATTTGCATTTTACATAAATAAACTTTGTTTTTTTTATTTTAGACTACTTAATTTAGCTTACTTGAGTTTGGCATCATGCCCCTTGATTTCTGATGGAGCCTTCGAACTCCTAGGTCAGTTACAAAAGTTATGGCAGATAAATTTAAATTCTACTAAACTTGGTGATCGAGTAAGTTTTAACTTGGACGGAAATTTTAACTTTTCTTTAATCACGATACGTCAGATTATTAAACATTGACGGCACATTCTATATCTTCTTAACATAATAATCCATCCCTCATCAATCAAATCGACGTGGTTACCTCTATGTTAATTAGGAAGTTTCGCAATGAGTAACTTCAGTGGTCTGTTTTAAAGGTATAACTAATTCGCTGATTTTTGTTAAAAAAGCATGATATGGAGTCGTCACAATACTAACCTTTCAGTAATCGTTTTTTTATCTACCGGATAATTTACTAACCTGATCGGCCAATAGGGTTTTGGTTTCACTCTCGTCTTCAAATGACTCTCCAGACTGTGACTTAAAGGCAAAGTAGACTACTAAATTGATTTCTTCATCAGTTCGTTGCGTTCCATTCTAGCAGAAAAATCAGTGTTAATTAAATAGCTAATGTTAGTGGACCGTATTTAGTTATTTGTTTAGAATATTTCTTTTATCCATTAATTATAAGAGCCTAGGATTTCGGTATATCTCATCAATCAACCTTATTTTCGCTTTCTTACAGGGTTTGTCGGCTCTTGGATCACTGCCTAAATTACATGAACTGAAAGTGTCTAAATGTACCGCCATCACTGATTTAGGATTGCAAAAGTTTGCACATCTTCGTATAAACTTGGAATTTATTGATTTATCATTTTGTCACGTAAATTAAGTTTGGTTTTAAATGATGTTCTAAAATTGCAATTTTTATAAACCATTTAGAATTTGACAAACAATGGAATTAAAACACTAGCATTTTGTTGTCATTTCCTTACCAGTATTAATTTAGCTGGGTGTAAGCTGGTAAGTATCCGTTCATTGTTAATTTTTTTCACTCACTATATCTCTCTTAAAGCTGACAGATATGGCTGTACAATATATTTCCGGAGTATGTCATTATCTAACGTTTCTTGATTTGTCAGGTTGTGAATTGATCACGTAAGTTTAAAACAACTTGTTTATAAAATATTGATATATGCAACTCTGCTAAATATATTTTTACACATGTTTAAAACAATGTTTGATAATTTTTAGCACAATTAATGTGTGGCTTAATTAAGTTTTAAGGTTGCTGAATAACTTGAGAATTTACTATGTTTACTCATTTTGTTAATAGTTTTCATCATTTTATTATCTATAAAACAAGATTTTGACGTTAAAAGCATCTGAACAACGAACGTCCTAATAACTTGATTTATCTATTTAAACACGTAAACATTAGTACAGGAGAGCACCAAATAGATATGCACCACATAAATCATTCGATTTGTGTAAGGCCTGAGATACTGTCCGAGCACCCAGATCGAAACAGGTGGTTTTCTTGAGGGGTCACACCCCAAGCATTTCACCTAATGGTCTAATCCACAAGGCAGTGCAGCAACGTAAGGAGATGCAGTCACATGGTAGCAGGTGACCAATAATTGGTTCATACACCATTTGTTACTTCAGGATCCTGGAGCTCATGTGTACCGTTGGTTTTGAAACAGAGCTTTCCAACTCGTGTAGGTGGATCATCTGTATCCACTAACCTGGTTAAAGCGCTGAACGTTCGCTTTTTGTTTTCTCAATTTCGCAGAAATCGTCCCTTCCATGAGAAGGCAGTGAGTAGGACTTCGTTGGTAGTGGTTGTATGCACGTGGCCATGTGAGAGCATTTCGAGAGGGAGAACTGGCTCTTTATTTTTAACTGTTAACCCTATTTCAATAACCAGTATCCTTGATGAAGAATAATTCTACCTCTAAACATTGATCAAAGAAATAAAAGTCATGAATATCTTAAAATGATGTAATTATTTATACTCTTCTTATTTATAACTTTGTGCAATTATACCTATATTTTACCAAACCAAAGATTATAAATACCGTAAAAATTGACTTTCTGTTAGCAATTTTCCGAAACTTTTATTTAACATGTATATAAAAACATTTATACATTTGTAGGGAAACATCTTTAAGTTTTTTACTGAAAGGTTGTAAAAAACTTGAACATCTTCGACTATTATACTGCAAGTCAATTAAAAAGTAAGTTTGATTAAGAATATATTGATTATTTTATAGATGTTTGTTGTATAATTATCATTTTACAGTTAATAGATTAAAGCATCTTTTTGGTTAATTTCATGTAAGATGCAATGTCACTATAATGTCTGATTAGGTAGTTGATAATTCTCTATAATAAAATTTCCTTCCTTCAAAAGTATATAGATAATGACTAAACATTTGATGGAATTGGATATTAATACAATCAGACTCAACTAATTGATAGCATGATGCTTTTGTCAATGATATTTGCAAAAGGTAATAAATTGATCATTTACTTTAGATTTCTGTTAATATTTAGAAGATAATCTTGACATTATTCAAAAATGTTTGTATAAACATAGTGAAAAACGCTCCGGTCAAGTTTCAGGTCAAATGTATCACTTTTAAGACTTTCAATATTTTAAGCACACTTCCAAATGACATTAAACATAATGATGTCAATTACCAAAATATCGCACTAAAGACAGTGTTTAAGTAAAAAAAATATATAGCATAAAATAAACGTGTTCAATAGAAAAATAGTGTTCTAACGACATAAAACATCTATTTAGTTTGTATGTATTACAGAATAAGCAGTTACTCGTTTACCTAATACACACCTCCCATGAAAATCATTGTTTCACATTTTAAGTTTTATATTATCATTATGCATCAAATATTGTAGTGAACAGAACACGAGTGGGGACAACCGAATGTATTTAGCACAAAATTACAGAGCTACTTGGTAAAATAGAAAAACCATGTAGCAAATCGTTAATTTGTAAAATATCAATCCATCATATCAACCTGAACTGTTCCTGTTGCAAACATCAATCCAATATAATGTTAATGTATGAAAAATGATTAAGACATTTTAGGATCAATTAAAACTTTACCAACCAACCAAACCGTTAACTTTTATAAATTCTAACTTTTTTCTTCATTTGTTATCATTTGGTTGAAAATAGTTTGCAGGGCATCTTGAACTAAGGTTTCATGCTAGTTACTATTCATTGTTATCATTTACCTTTAACCTACAGGAAATAGATAGTCTTCGTGGAACTCGAACTAGTTTGACTCAGTTTTTTTAATATTTTTAGTACATTCACTACATTATAACTAAATAACTAAAAGTTTCCACATCGTTCTAATCTTCTAAACATAATGGAATTTAATAAACATTCCTAAAGTTAGTGATACTCAGATAAATCTCATAAATAATCTTTAAGAAAATTATTTTCATTGAATGATTCCATTTACAATAGACAAATTAAATGAAATAAAATATTATGTTCATTGTATAAACGTAATTGAATGTGTAATTATGAAACATTTAATAAACTTATAAACTATTTCCTATATGACACATAAATTTCACAATTGAATATGATGTACTATACAAACTTCTTTTTATTTAGACATAAATTAATTCGATTAACAACTGGAAAAATTGAAAGAATTGAACATTCAATGGATGAACCTCCAGCTGAATTTATTGGTTATTTAATAAAAGAAAACGCATAGCAACAATGATTGTATTTAAAGAATATTTATTCATTTATTTATTTTACGAATACTTTTATGCTAAACTGATTTTTAATGAGATCAATATTTATGCAAATCTATTTATTTATGTTTTATCTAAATTCTGAATTTTGTAGATTCCATATGTAATTTCAAAATGAAATTTTAAGAAGAAACATTTTCAGATATTTTGTTTTCCAAATTTATCATTGAATGTTTTCAACTTGAGAATTTACTACAAATATACTATTTTAACCAGTTGATTCGAGTACTGACAGTGAATGTGACATGAAATCGATAAAGTTTATAAATGTGAACAAAGTAAAGAATCCAACAGTTAGGAAGGAAGTGATAGTCACATTAGAACAATAACGGAAAGATGGCTATTTTCGATGAAACATTCAAGATCCTCTTCTAAACTTTCATTTGTCACATTTCTGCATTAGGTTGTCCAAGTTTTAAAGTTATTATTGCTGTCTAATATTCTGTAGTTATATCATGTTGAACACTTCTCTATCAAACTTGTTATCTTCAAAAATATATCACTTAATATGGCTGCATCCTTCCCTTTACCTTTGATGTATTTTATAACCAACTAAGATATATGGATTTTCTTAACTTAAGAAATAAAGCAGATTTTTAGTTTCCCCTTTTTAATATCTACCCTTCAATTCTATTTTTTTGGAAAACCGTTAAGTTGAAATATCAAATTCGGTAGCCCTTTTATGATATTGGTCAGCCACGCACAATAGCGCATCCATATGTGAAATACTTTAAATGCTTATATTGAACAGTATCTTCTGGTAGCTATATGTTATTCATTCTAAACAAAGGTACATTGGTACACAGATGTGAAAATAGAAAATCATGCAACATCCAAATGACTCAGCAGGTTTTATTGTTCCGGAAAACTAGAAATTAATGCAGAACACAGATTCGGAGATAGAAAATTACTAATATATAATTGCTTTGGTTTGCGGAATGCTTTGATAATGTTTACCTGTTTTCATATCAACTTCCGAAAAATGGACTATTTTATAGACAACTATCAGAAGGTGTTTCGTACTAATTTTATTGTGTGATGACGTATTAATCAATATCGTAGATTCTTGTTTTATTTCAATGCTAATTTGCTTTACTCTGAGAACATACGATTTTAGTAAAACTTCGACGGTTTCCACATACGTCTTTGTTCGGACAAAATTCGAGTATATATTGACGATCGAAATGAAACTAACGTCACTTTAGTAATGTCATATATACAGCAAACTGTCTCAGTAATTCAAGACTTTGGAATTTATTCACCAACAATTAAATGGATCATTACTTAAAAAATATTCCTAAAACAGGGCGCTCAAAAAAATTCATGTACTTTGTCCTCAGTTATTTAAGCCAACATTTCCCACTACTAAACTGTTTGGCGATTCACTGTCATTGATCCGTTTCCACTCTTTCCTACCGCTTTTTTTATTCTACCTCCACCATAAGTCAGGAATTAAAGACGTTTGGACTTGTTTTGTCTACATATATTGATACCCTTATCGTGTATCTTGTCAAAATTAGAGTTTCATACATTGCGTCCCAAATAATGGTATTCAGATGTAAGGTCCACAAATGCAGCATGAGATGCCCAGATAAAGCCTTACCAAGCAACAAGTAGTGAAAACGTTTAAAATATCTATCAAGGTTTACAATAAACGATAATTTTTTTATTTAGCACCTTTAATTTCCAAATGGTAAACCGATAAATAAAAAAAGTTAAAGTAAGCGGCATATAACCACATATTTTGCAAATTCTGAAATGCAGACTGACCTCAAAAATTATACATAAATCGGCGAGGAAAATCAGTGGCCGAAACACTTATTCAGTAGAATTTATCAGTCATGTTTGATGAAACGTTTATCTCAATAATCGTCAGAGAATATAAAGAGTGCGTAAAAAATAACAGTAGAAGGATTAGTTTTTCGAACTTAGGCCTTTGTTTTTTTCAGCGAATTTGAGTTTTCATGATTCTCAACAGGCCAAAACTTAAAGTGCCACATGTCCCTTCTATTATTTAAACAGCTCATCCATTATGCTTTCCAATGCTATCACAAGAATACCACATGCTAATAGTCATCTTCAACCTCGTTGTCCACACTCGATAGATTTATACACTATGTTTAGACTCTAAATTGAATTACGACGTTGTAAAGTACTCTTTTTATAAAGATTTGGTTCACATTAACTACTTCGAAGCTCCGGTACGTTTTCTGATCGTATATATATATATATATATATATATATACGATCAGAAAACGTATATATACGGATTCTATTAAAGTATTCTAATCTTTTGATTTTTTGAATCGCATATAGTTAGCCATTTTAAATCTATTTCCAACATGCTTTTAAAAAGGCTATTTTTTATTTCACGTTACACTGTTTACTATCATTCAGTAGCGTGAACCCCACACAAACAATCTGACCCATACATTTTGCTCTTATCAGATAAATGCTTCTACCCATTCAGAAAGTCTTTGTTTTTCATTTCGCAGTTTGATTTCAGTTTCTTCCAATTGTACTTGTATGAAAGTTGCCTCCAATAACTTTTCTACTGGCTTATCATAAATTTAGATATTTACATGACAAGGACTAAATATTGTAGATATTTGGTGGTGTGAAATATCTGTAATCTGCCATATTAAATTCATCAACTTTTGCAGTATGGTCATTTTGAAAACAAAGTAAAGGATCTGCAAAAAGCCCGAAAATCTTGTATTATTACTAATCATGTTAATTTATTTCCAGTTAATCCTGATAAGTATGTCACTAATTTATCTTCCATTGTATTATCTGCCAATGAAAAGGAAGCACTTTCTCTTGGTTTTAATTTCTCGGTCCCTATAACGCGGATGTCTGAATTATAAATAAATGCCCAATCTGAAAATCTATACGATCAACTGAGTACTTTAGCCCCTACGTCTTTTATTAATCATAGTTGGTGTAAAGCTAAATTAGTGGATATAGCACACAAATTTCATAATGCAGGACCAAAGCAGAGAAGCATATTAACTTCTCAGCACTTTAAATCATTAAATGAACTACCAACAAACCCTGATAGTGTCTTGTTGAAACCCGATAAAGGATCAGGCGTAATTATCATGAATAAATGTGAATATTTAAGTAAGAAGTTATCCATCCTCAGTGATGAAAGTAAATTTATGCCTGATGTTGAATTTGGAGGTATTGGCAAACTAAAGGGAAGTATAAATTCAAACCTAGAAAATTGAAACACACGAATATTATTAATAAAGAGGAATTTAATTTTCCACAACCTTCAGGTTCCGAGTACCTTCATTGATATGGACTACCTAAAATTCACAAACCAAACATTCCTTTACGTCCCATTTTATCAATGTACAGATCACCTACACATAACCTAGCTAAATGGCTAACAAAATTGTTGGACCCTATCCGAAGACGTATATGTAAGTATTCTTTTAAACTGGTCGATCATTTAAGTGATATTAATATCACGGAAATAACAGTGTGTTCATTTGATGTGAATTCCTTGTTCACAAATATACCTTTGAAAAAAACTATTGATATATTATATGTTTACATATCTTTAAACAATCTTAAATTACGTGTCCCTTCAAAAATGTTTAGAGATTTACTATTATTATGTACTGACAAAGTTCAGTTCACTTTTGAAGGGGAATACTTTCGTCAGATTGATGGTATTGCTATGGGTAGTCCGCCAGGACCATTATTAGCAGATGTGTTCATGGCACATGTTGAAAATCTGGCTGATGACCTAATCGAAAACATGTCACTTTATAAGAGATATGTAGACGATATCTTAGTTGTTTATGGAAGAAATGAGGATATGTACTGTTTATTAAATAAATTTAACACTCTCCAAAACCATATCAGTCTCTCTTGTGAAGAGGAGAAGAACGATCAGCTTCCCTTCCTAGATATACTTCTGAGTAAACGACAAGATGGCTGAGTCAAACGATCCATTTTTAGAAAACCAACGTGGACAGCTCAATACCTTAGTTATTATAGTTATTTCCCCGTGCAATACAAACGTGGTGTGATGAGGTGCCTTTTCAGCAGGCTTGATCTTATTTGTACAAATGATGCCATTGATGATGATGTTAAGTTGCTAAGTAAAACGTTAATGGAAAATGGCTATCCTCTGAAATTCATAAATGGATGGAAAGTCCATAGTACAGTGAGACCTACTGTAGCCTTGGTAGAAAAAAAGCCTGTCTACATCACCTTACCATTCAGAGGTGATTCAAATAGCCTTTTACTGAAACAAAACGTATTGCGCAGAAAAGGTCGTTATCAAAGAAAGAACAAGGTGCATGCTTCATCCAAAACCTAAAACACATGAAAACGATTGTGTCACATCCCACTGTGTTTATCAATTTAAATGTGTGTGTGGTCACACATACATAGAGAGGAGGAGCAATCGTGATCTCAAAATTAGGGTATGTGAAAATGTACCAAAATGGTTGCAGAAACAAATACAATCAAGTGACCCAATAAGAGCAGAGGATAAACATCAATCACCCTCTATTGCTAAAAATATAATCAAGTCAGGCCATAAGATTGATCTTAACTCGGCTTTTGTGGTGTTGTATAATGGTGTAAATGGGCGTACATTAAGGTTTATTGAAGCCTTAGTCATAAGAAAGTTCAAACCCCCTTTGTGTGTTCAAAAACAGTTTGTTCTCACCCTAAACCTACCCTGATAATATTGACTTATTATCCAGAGTGATTAGGTTTCGAATTGTGTTCACATTATTATTACTCCTGTGGAGAAAGCTATATTGGGCAACTGAACCAAAGAGTTAGTGAACACCTCCCTTCGTGGTTTGGCAAAGGTAATGTCAAGACAATAGGTAGCTCGGTTCTATCACACTTGATCGATAGCGGTCATGTAATAGACAGAATTAAATCATTTAAAGTTATTTATCGTATTTCCACTAGTTTCCCTCATGGT